GCTGTCATGTAATAATGAGGGTAGACTGATAAAACAAAATTGGCTGTCAAAGTTCGTGTGGCAAAACCAGTGTTGACCAGTGTAATCTACACCTTCACCATTTTTTCCAAATCCGACAAACATCATCTCGCTATTTCTCAGAAATTAGTTTCTTTCATAGGACTGTTTTGGTATCACAAGAGACGAGAAACAGATCATACTGAATTTTTAGGCAAATCTACTAGGACCCATTTTCTGTTCGTTATGGAGTCTAGCTCTTAAAAACTGAGAACTAAATTCAATAAAATATTTTTTCCAAGCAAAGTTACAAAGCTTTGCATCAAATAGAGAAATATCAATCTTAGAAAATACAAGAATTCCTACCTATAGATGGCCTGTACAGTGCAAGTGGCAAGTTCTTGCCTTCAGTCTTCACAACTTCTTCTGCAACACACTTTGTGAATGAGTAAGTGTTTGGATGGTCTCCCAATATCCTAAAAATTAAACGAACAATTGAATTTTAATGAAGTCCGATACAATTAGTTGATTATCGTAAAACGAAAAACCAACATTGTTAGCATTTCCATTGATAGATTCCAGGGTTATTGTGGTCAGAGTTACTGGAAAACTACTAATGCAACTGCTAGAAACATTTGAATACAAACTAAAGCATTCGCGATCTTGAAAATAATAAACAAGTTATTTGCTTAAGAAATTAAAAAACTCACAACCGTTGAGTGAATCTAGTGCTGATACTTTTTTTAATTACAGGTCAAAAAGACTGATTTAGTTGTACCTTGGGTTATCCACCCTCACGACTCCCCAAGAGAACCGATTTTCATTAAGCATAGCTGAAAATCACCTCGACATAACATACCTAAGACTTTCGATTAAAAAAGCACGACTGAAGTCGGTTCACTTTAACATATCCTAGAGATTGATAAGATAATACAGGTTATACACAAATATTTAATATTGCTTCATCCCTAGTAAATCTAATAAATACGAAAGTGTGTATGTATGTTTATATATTAAGTGACATATAAATCCGAACACCCAGTTTAAATGGTTTTATTTTAATAAAAGTTGGTGAATGTATTTATCTTACTGTAAATAACAAGTGAAAAAATTTTCAGCCTTATCAGTTGGACATTCCGGTTTTTATACTGCTTTTTTTTAATTCACTAACGCTCTAAAAATGAATATTTCAGCCGCAGTAAAGAATCAACGTTGGCGGATTTTGGTTCTTGACATCCTTTCGATCGGTTACGATGCCTATAGTACGGAGACCTGTACGATTTCGTCGACTTAGTGAGTTTGATAGGGGCCGTATAGTGGGACTTCGGGAAGCTGGACTTTCTTTTCGGGCAATTGCAGTTAGAGTGCAAAGAAGTGTAGACACTGTGGTTAGGTGTTGTCAGGCATGGCTTCGAGAAGGCCGTACGCAAAGAGCAAGGGGCACTGGACGCCGCCGTAGAACAACAGACCGTGAAGATCGCCGCCTAAGATTATTGGCCTTAAGGGACCGTTTCTCCACTACCAGGTCCATTGCAAATGAATGGTTTGCAGAACACGGAAGACCTATTGGCATGCGAAGTGTTTACCGACGAATGAGAAGTTTTGGCTTGTTTTCATACCGGCCACACTGGGTCCTCCCTTTAACTCGAGAACACCGACGTAATCGCCTTGAGTGGTGCAGACAACGGTCACTCTGGGATCAGGAATGGAACAGTATTGTCTTTAGTGACGAGTCTCGATTTTGTTTAGGCATGCACGATGGTCGTGCCAGGGTTAGAAGGCGACGTGGTGAAAGGAGGAATCCACAGTTTTTTGTTGAAAGACATGTTCATCACACTGTTGGAGTTATGGTTTGGGGTGCTATAGCTTATGGTTCCAGGTCACCTTTAATCTTCATCAGAGGTAACATGAACGCGCAGCGTTATATCCACGAAGTTCTAGAACCCCATCTTTACCCTATCTTGACACCCTGGCAGATCCAACTTTCCAACAAGATAATGCCCGACCACATATTGCAAGAGTCACAATAGACTTCTTTCAACATAATGATGTCACATTGTTACCATGGCCACCAAGATCTCCCGACTTATCCCCAATTGAGCACGTATGGGATATGATGGCTAGGAGATTTCTCAATTTGCAACGACCTCCTCAGACTCTAGAAGCACTTCGAGAGGAGTTGGTGGTTGCCTGGAATGAGATACCACAGGAGGACATTGACCACCTGATCAGAAGCATGCCTAGGCGCGTTGGAGAATGCTTAGCACATCAGGGTGTATCCACACATTATTAAAGGTCAAAGGGCTTTAAAGCAGTGCAATGATTTTGAAATTTTTATCATTTACTTATTATGCTTCATTAAGTACTTATACAAAATTTTATTAAAATAAAATCATTTAAACTCGGTGTTCGGATTTATATGTCACTTAGTATATGTTTTGTTTCCACGCTAACACAGCCTGGACCGATTTAGATGGATTTTGGCACAGATATAGGTTAGACCTTGGAGACGGACACGGGCTATGTATTACTGTGAAAATAAAACTTCAAGTGGTGAAATAGGGGGTAAAAGTTACCCCTATTCTTTAAGTTAGTGATAGAAATATGGGTTGTTTATAATCAGTTCTTTGATATAATGTAAATGTACAAAGAAATTTTGGAAATGATACCCCTAATTGGTGAATCTGATTGTTTCAAATTAGGTTAACCTAGGAGTAGGAGTATGTTTTGTCTATAATTTCCTCTTTGCATAAAAAGAAATGATCGAAGAATTCCAGAAATTATATCTTCAAGATAAGATAGGAGGGGGTTGAATATTTCTATGAAGAACCTTATCACTTTTCAAGTTAAGTTTATAGAAATGTATTTCCAAAACTATTCAACTTATGAAAACGAAATTTAGCAGGGAAGTACTTTGAGGACGGGATACGTCAACGAATTTTTGCGAAAAGGCTGAACTAAGGGAGGCTAAGGGTAGATATATGTACGAGCCAAAAAATGCTCATTAACCACGAAATTTCGAGAACAATTTCACCAATAAACATGAAACTCGGTAAAGAAGTAGTTTATGGACAGGAAACGTGGCTGGGAGCGTCAAGGCTGGATTAAGGAGGAGCTAAGGGAAGATATAAAATAAAAAAAATCAGTCACGAAATCTCGAAAACTATACTAAGTGACATATAAATCCGAACACCCAGTTTAAATGGTTTTATTTTAATAAAATTTTGTATAAGTACTTAATGAAGCATAATAAGTAAATGATAAAAATTTCAAAATGATTGCACTGCTTTCAAGCCCTTTGACCTTTAATAATGTGTGGATGCACCCTGATGTGCTACGCATTCTCCAACGCGCCTAGGCATGCTTCTGATCAGGTGGTCAATGTCCTCCTGTTGTATCTCATTCCAGGTAACCACCAACTCCTCTCGAAGTGCTTCTAGAGTCTGAGGAGGACGTTGCAAATTGAGCAATCTCCTACCCATCATATCCCACACGTGCTCAATTGGGGATAAGTCGGGAGATCTTGGTGGCCATGGTAACAATGTGACATCATTATGTTGAAAGAAGTCTATTGTGACTCTTGCAACATGTGGTCGGGCATTATCTTGTTGGAAAGTTGGATCTGCCAGGGTGTCAAGATAGGGTAAAAGATGGGGTTCTAGAACTTCGTGGATATAACGCTGCGCGTTCATGTTACCTCTGATGAAGATTAAAGGTGACCTGGAACCATAAGCTATAGCACCCCAAACCATAACTCCAACAGTGTGATGAACATGTCTTTCAACAAAATACTGTGGATTCCTCCTTTTACCACGTCGCCTTCTAACCCTGGCACGACCATCGTGCATGCCTAAACAAAATCGAGACTCGTCACTAAAGACAATACTGTTCCATTCCTGATCCCAGAGTGACCGTTGTCTGCACGACTCAAGGCGATTTCGTCGGTGTTCTCGAGTTAAAGGGAGGACCCAGTGTGGCCGGTATGAAAACAAGCCAAAACTTCTCATTCGTCGGTAAACACTTCGCATGCCAATAGGTCTTCCGTGTTCTGCAAACCATTCATTTGCAATGGACCTGGTAGTGGAGAAACGGTCACTTAAGGCCAATAATCTTAGGCGGCGATCTTCACGGTCTGTTGTTCTACGGCGGCGTCCAGTGCCCCCTGCTCTTTGCGTACGGCCTTCTCGAAGCCATGCCTGACAACACCTAACCACAGTGTCTACACTTCTTTGCACTCTAACTGCAATTGCCCGAAAAGAAAGTCCAGCTTCCCGAAGTCCCACTATACGGCCCCTATCAAACTCACTAAGTTGACGAAATCGTACAGGTCTCCGTACTCTAGGCATCGTAACCGATCGTAAAGGATGTCAAGAACCAAAATCCGCCAACGTTGATTCTTTACTGCGACTGAAATATTCATTTTTAGAGCGTTAGTGAATTAAAAAAAAACAGTATAAAAACCGGAATGTCCAACTGATAAGGCTGAAAATTTTTTCACTTGTTATTTACAGTAAGATAAATACATTCACCAACTTTTATTAAAATAAAACCATTTAAACTGGGTGTTCGGATTTATATGTCACTTAGTATATTTGACCTATGCAAATGAAATCTGGCAGAAGGGTAGTTTATGAACAGCATATATTTGATGAAAATGGATTTTGTGACAGGGTCATGTGAAATGGGAAAAGAGGCATTTACAGATTTGTACGAAAGTCCTTTGTTTTTTTTTTTAGTAGAAATCTAGAATTTCATAGGAAGATAGTTCATAGGCAATTAATCTCAGTTAAGAACAGAATTTGTGACAGAAACTGTATTAAGGGGTTGGAAGGGTACTAGCGAATTTGTTTGATTTTTTTTTTATTTGTCTGTTACATACCTAAAATTGGCAAAAATGAGGTTATTTACAGTAGACTTGTACCTTGACTTTGTACGAGGGATGTCTTTTAAGTTTTGCATATGGAAATAAAACAAAACGGTAGGTAGTTTTAAATGACTTTATTGTTATTGTTAAATAATTCTACCCAATGTACAGCAATTCATTGATGTTCCGTACGAAACACCAATATCTCGAATTTCGTCTCGTTTGTAACTACGATTTTTATCATTGAAAAAAGATGCTTGTGAGACACATATTTTCCCTATAGGATGTAATTTTAAGCAAATATCCAACTTACGTAGGCGTGATGGCAGTTAGCATATCCTCGTCTAAGCATTCTACAAGGTTTATGAGTTTTTCGCCTGTCATCGGTGGATTGTAGAATTTTTCGTCTATGACTTTGTGTGTACAGTTTGAATATGCCGTGGAAACATGTACAAACGCCTGAAAGAAAGATGTTTCAAGATTAATAATACGATTCGTAAGCAATATTCTGCAAGGGTTACACTGGACAACAAATTTTAGTTTCTTAATTGTATCTTGTGGGAAAAGTGCACTTCTTTGTTAATTTTGGGACGCTGAATCCAAAAATGACAATGAAATAAAAAAATTAGTTGCGGTTTAGAAAAAAAACTTTTATTTTTAAGGATATATTAAAAAAAGTAACAAGATTCATATACTTATAAGAATCACTTTTTGCTGTTCTTTTATGGATCGTTTCTGGAGCATCTCTACCAAGAGTCCAACAGTAGTCTGCAAGCATGGAAGGATTCCACTTTCGCTGGTACCTTTTTTCCATTGTTGAAATATCCTGATGAAAACGTTCGCCGTGCTCATCACTTACGGCTGGGCAATTGTCAGGAAAAAAGTCCAGGTGTGAGTGTAGGAAATGTATCTTAAGAGACATATTACAGCCCATCTTTTGATACGATGACAGCATATTTTTGACAAGGGTTTTACAGTTGTCAGCTTGGAAATCATTCCAAGCAGTTTTTTCAATACCTGTTAAAGTGTTTTTAAACCGTGTATCTTTCAATATATTTCGAATCTGTGGCCCAACAAAAATTCCTTCTTTAACCTTTGCCTCACTTAGTCTTGGAAATTTCTGACGCAGGTATTGAAAAGCTGACCCATCTCTAACTGATGCCTTGACAAAGTTTTTCGTTAGGCCCAACTTGATATGCAGTGGTGGTAATAAAATTTTTTTCGAATCTACTAATGGCATATGCTGTACATTTTTTTGACCTGGCTCTAGGAATTGACGAACAGGCTAGTTTTGTTTGGTGTAATGAAGTGCCTTTGCCCGAATGTCCCATTCACACAAAAAACAGCAAAACTTTGTGTAGCCTAGCTGCAGCCCAAGTAAAAGTGCAACAACTTTCAAATCGCCACAAATATGCCATTGGTGCTCATCGTATCTTATGCATGTCAATAGGTACTTCATATTGTCATATGATTCTTTCATGTGAACTGCATACCCTACAGGAAGCGATGGTAAAATATTTCCAATATGCAATAACACTGCCTTTAAACTCAATGTTGAACTGTCTATAAACAATCTCCATTCTTCTGGGTTATAGTTTATATTTAAAGCCGCCAGTAAGCCGTTAATGTTACTGCAGAAAACCAAGTTATTCTCCATATTGAAAAATGGTTCTGTCTTTGTGGCGTTTACGAAAAACACATACCGAAACATCGTCTTCTAACAAGTTCCACTGCTGCAGTCTTGATCCAAGTAACTCTGCCTTACATTTTGGAAGTTCTAAATCTCTTACAAGATCATTTAATTCTGACTGTGTTATTTTGTGCGGTTGGTGGCATGACGTGCCCGGTATAAAACCAGGATCTCTTGACGTTGATGGCATATCTTCTTCCTGACGAATCACTCGATTGCCATGATCTGATTCGTTTTCTGATTCGCAAGTATAGGATTCTGGGGGTTTTGGAATAGGATTTTCGTCACTGTGAGGCACAGGTCTCATCGCAGATGGTATGTTTGGGTAGTTAATAACCGATTTTTTTTTCTTGGACATACCTGTGGCTTGTCCAACACAAGGTACCATGCAAAAGTGACAATCATTAATATGATTTGTAGGCTCTCTACAAACCATTGGGGCAGCAAAGCGCATAGACCGTTTTTTGCCATTTAACCAGCTCCTCAGACTTGAAGCACATGTATTACAGCAGATGTGGGGTGCCCACTGTTTGTCTTGATCACCTAGTTTACAACCGAAATAAAGCTGATATGCCTTTGTTATTAGTGGAGTAATAGACCGTCTCTGAGACGCAAAAGTCACATCACCACACACGTAACAAAACTGATCTGGATTGTTTACACACTTTCGAGACAACTTGCATAAACGCTCTCAGCCAACTGAGGAAAAAATGGCTAATATAAAACAATATAATGTACACGTATGTATAACGTAACACAATCATGCCGATTACATCATCTTTCCTTGCCGAATATAAAAATGTAGCACGTGCATTCTTGTGAATTACAGTATATTAACACTGTCACAGCAGGAACACATATAATTACCGTATCTCTAAAACTTGAACTAATATTGAAAAAATAAGTTTCATTCCGGTTTTAGCACATTAAAAATAGTAATATTTTGTTGATTTTATTTAGGATATTTTTTGGCTGTTGATCAGTGTTATAGAAGAGCATAAGTTTGAGCCAGAGGACAACTTAAAAGAAAGGTGGAGATAAGAGTCTGATAACGAAACAAATATTATAATCGCGGAAAATTTCGAAAACCTCGATAACTCGGAAAAAAAGAAAATGTCAGCTACGGTTTAGTGTCGGAGGAAATATGAGGCAGGCACAGTATAAAAAAATTTAGCCGCCTCCAAAATTGTGAAATCCATCATATCGCATGCACTTACATATGGTGACACGTTATAACTAGATTTAAATGGATGTGTGAGAAGGAATGAGTCAATCTACTTGAGTCAATTCTATACCAACGTCAGACAGCGCCAGACGCATACTGATCGAGGTTGGTTCCAACTCATTTTTAATCAGTGAACTTTGCGACACGCAGCCTGATTTTTCGTTTCTGGAATCAACCTGTTTATCTTTTTGTATCTGCATACGTTTCGATTTTTATTTACCTAGACCTGAATGTGAAAGCATGTCACACATATTACACTGGTCAACACTGGTTTTGCCACAAGAAACTTGGACAGCTAATTTTGTTTTCTACCCTCATTATTACATGACAGCTGTCATATGTCTATTAGCCTCATATTTGTTGTGATACGGTAATACTCATAACTAGTACTACGGCAGTAAATTAACAGAAACGCTTACAAGTAAATCCTTATAAAAATATTTGTTGTTGAATTTGAACAATTTTTTGTGATTTATTAACCCTGTGAATATGTCGAGGAAGTGTAATAATGATCCTAACTCTTTTTGTTATGTCTGCGGAGAACTAACATTCAAAAAACAACGACGAAATTTTACGAATCTTGTGCTGGAGTGTTATCACCAATGTTTTGGTTTTTCTGTCGCCCATCAAGACACATCCTGGGCCCCTCATGTCTGTTGCATAACGTGTGTGAAAAATTTAACTGACTGGAAGAAATGTGCACGACCTATGCCGTTTGCTGTACCCATGATATGGACTGAACAGCGAGATCACCTTTCAGATTGCTATTTTTGTCTCACAGACATAAAAGGTATAAATTACAAGAAAAAAACCACAGTTATTTACCCTAACTTATCTTCGGCTATAAGACCAGTCTCTCATTGTAAAAAATTGCCAGAACTAATACCAGTTGCAACTACGTCTGTTGAGAACAATTCACAACCGTCCACTTCAGGTGAATGTGTTGACGAGGACGATGACTTTGAGTTAAAGGAATTGTAAACGAGCCACATTTGATAACTCAAGGAGATCTAAATGATTTGGTTCGGGATTTAAATTTGTCAAAAAAGCAGTCAGAACTATTAGGATCACGTCTAAAAGAATGGAATTTGCTACATCATAATACAAAAGTTAGCTATTTTCGAAACCGTGATCAACTCTTCAGAACGTATTTTTCTCAGGATGGAGATTTGGTGTTTTGCAATAACATAAATGAGATTATGAAAATGTTGGACATAGATTTTGATCTCTCTCAGTGGCATTTATTCATTGATTCTTCGAAAGCAAGTCTAAAAGCAGTGTTATTGTATAATGGAAATAAGCTTCCGTCTGTACCTCTGGCCCATGCTGCAAATATGAAAGAAACCTATGAAAATATGAAACTTTTACTTGAAAAAATAAATTACAGTACATATTCCTTCAAAATCTGCGGTGATCTTAAAGTTATTGCACTATTACTTGGACTTCAGCTAGGTTATACAAAGTTTTGCTGCTTTTTATGTGAATGGGATGGCCGAGACAGAACTAATCACTATATATAAAAAAACATGGCCTACGCGTGCATCGTTAGTTCCTGGGCAAAAAAACGTAAAGTATTTACCTCTTGTACAGCCAAATAATGTGCTTCTACCACCATTGCATATCAAATTAGGATTAATAAAACATTTTGTGAAGGCAATGGATCGCAATGGGAGTGGATTTTGTATCTAAAAGAAAAATTCCCTAAAATAAGTGCTGCAAAGATAACAAAGGGTGTTTTTGTTGGCCCTCAAATTAGAGAGTTAATAAAAGATTCAAGATTTGAAGAAAAATTAAGCGATTTAGAAACATCTGCATGGAAGGCTTTTAAAAATGTTGTTGCAAATTTTTTGGGTAACCACAAGAGTGACAGCTACAGAGAGTTGGTTAGCGAGCTATTATTGTCATATCAAGCATTGGGTTGCAACATGTCACTTAAGATCCATTTTTTAGACTCGCACGTGGATTTTTTTTCCTGACAATTTAGGGGCTGTCAGCGACGAGCACGGTGAGAGGTTCCATCAGGACATTTCTAATATGGAAAAGCGGTACCAGGGCAAATGGAGCCCAAATATGTTAGCAGATTACTGCTGGACAATTAAAAGGGACCAACCAGACGCTAAATATTCAAGAAAATCTTAGATTATTAAGTCATTCATAAAAAAAATAACTTTTGATTTACGAGATCTGTGTTTTTTCTTAATATTTTAAATTACTCAATAGAATAAAATCCTTGTCTAGCAATTTTTTTTAACTGTTTATTTTTTCTTACAATCACCAATTAAAGTAAAAAATATCAAAAAAGGCACGACAAAGTTAAAATTTTGTTGACCAGTGTTATCAGTCAAACATCTTGAGTGCTCGTTTTAGAACCGCAAAAGAAAAATAGCCTTTATTATTCCGTCTCATTGTCTGACCCATTCACGGGCAACGAAATATTGACAAACAAGATATTTTTCAATAATATTCTATGAATTATTGCATCTATAGACGGTAAGGTGGTGAGCAACCATAAATTAATAATAATCTACATAAAAAATGCTTACACAATGTTGCGTTTATTTAGTAAGAGATTTGCCATATATGCAATTGCAACATATTGCAGAAAATGCACATTCACAAAAGGTTAAATAACCTAGAGACGAGGTTTGTATTTACGACGCGCGTTGTAATGTCAATAGGTCAAAGAACTCACAGCTGATTATTAATTTGACATCTCAGACTAACAGGAAAGTGAAGTATTTTATCGCGAAAACGTTATACAGGGTGGCGCATCGAAAACGAAACTGGCTGCTCAGTTTCTTTTTTTTAAAAACGCTCAGACATCGATTTTGTTTTCGATGGGGACACAAGTTTGGCAAAAAATCGCGTTAGCACGTGCAGCCCCCTAAGCGGGGGTGACAACACCTCCAAAATCTGAAATGGAAAGAGGGGTCGAGTGATAACTTATTTTAAAGGTCTTTCAATTCACTTTGTAATGGTAAAGGTTTGTCCAATAGGAACGCAGGAAAGTAAACGTCAATTTGACATAGACGCCATCTTTGTTTTCTGTCACCGACATGTCATTTTGTTTTGAATGTTTACCATTGATCGCTATGGAGTCGTATTCGATTGAAGACCGCATTAAAGTTATTCAAGAGCACTTCAAAAATGGTGCAAAAATAAAAAACACGTTTCGCGCGCTTCGTGAACATTTCGGTCGCAACAACCGCCCAAACGAAACAACCAACGGTCGTCTGGTGCGTAAATTCGAGGCAACAGGTTCTGTGACAGATCTGGCAGGCTCTGACCGGCCAAGGAGCGTTCGCACACCGGAAAATATTGCTGTTGTGAAGGAGAGTGTGGGAGACGATCCGAAACAATCAACAACGCGTCGATCCCAAGAATTGGGCATTTCGAGAACCAGTTTGCTCCGCATTCTCCACAAGGATTTGAATGTACACGCCTACAAGATCCAATTGACGCAAGAGCTGCGTCGGGCCGACCATTTTTCGCGCCGAACGTTCTCAGATTGGCTCCTTGAACACCGCCAAATTGATGCCAATTTTTCATCAAAACTCATGTTCAGCGACGAAGCGCATTTCACTTTGAATGGGACGGTAAACAAGCAAAACTGCCGCATCTGGGCGAACGAAAATTCCCGTGAGTATCAAGAGCAGCCGATGCATCCTCAAAAAGTGACTGTGTGGTGTGCATTGTGGTCAAAAGGCATCATCGGACCTTAAATAATTTTTTTTGCCACAAAACAATGCTCCAATAGCTATGTTCAACAACAAAATGATAAACAAACCATGGGCGTAGTGAAGAAAAGCATTTACTTATTAAGTAAATTCTTTAAGTCAAATTTCTTCTGAAAGTGGTACAAACTACTACGTGTTAACGTGATTTTTTGCTAAACTTGTGTGCCCTTCGAAAACAAAATCGACGGGTCTGAGCGTTTTTCCAAAAAAAAAACTGAGCTGCCAGTAAATGCGTCTGTTTCGTTTTCGATGCGCCACCCTGTATTTGGCATAATAATAATAAATATTCATGCCCCAACAGACGAATCGCCAAGTCGTACGACGAGTCTTCTGCTCTTCCATCAGACTATGCGCTACCCAGAGAGAACAGAGTTTCCTTACGTATCAATGGTCATGCAGAATTGAATGGACATGTCTCAATAGACAGTAACATGCAGCCTCCTGCGTCCGTTTGTTAAGTCATATTGCAAAGCTTTTATAGTACCCTTTGTATATTTTGTTGTTTTTGTGGTATGTTTGGCTCATCAGTAAAATTCCTCTCTTAACGACATTCTGATGTAAAAGCCGTCAACAACTCATTTACAGATAACAATAAAAAAAAATACTGCCTTCATTCGATAAAGCCAAAACGTGTCTGTCTTCATTTACTTCCGAATCAAAACCAAGCTTACAAATTTCAGTAACTGAAAAACAAACAGAAAGGAAATTCTGTTTTTTACTTCCTAGATTCTGTTTTTTGAATGTTGTATGAAGTGTACCTCACGAAAACCCACGTCACTCATTTAAGTCGTCGGTGTAAATTTTTACACATTTGGCGTCAGTGAAAGACCCATTATTAAGAAGCTGCTGATCTCAGTGATACTATGCATATAATAACAGTTTGTCTACATCTTCCATGGAAACAGAAATATGATAGATGCGCAAAGTTCAAAGATTCAGTGAACCTACCTAATCACGATTTGATTTCGCATTACGAAGTCGTAGGAATTATAGAGTCAATCTACTTCACGCCATTTTTTTTTCATAATTTCAGCATTACCTACTATTCTACAGAAAGTGAAACAGGCAAAGATAGACCGGACGACAGAACGACAGAAATTAGTAGTATGTTGTCCAAAACAGACGCAGGAAAGTAAACGCATAGTAAAATAAGAAAGATTGATATTCAAATCAAGTTGGGTACTTTATTTTGAAGGTTCATTTATACCATTTATGTATGAAAAATAATATCGCTCAAATGTTCACCACGACTGGATTTACAGACGTCCACGCGATGGTCGAAATTTTCAATGACATTTTGCAACATGGTCGGTTCCATGGCATTTATCTCGGCAATGATGTTGTTTTTGAGTTCTTGGAGGGTGGCTGGTTTGTTGACGTAGACTTTGCTTTTCAAATATCTCCATAAAAGAAGTCCAAGACGTTGGTTGTGTGGCATGTTGGGAATAAACATCGTCCATATCCATTCCTTCAAATTGCGGCAAAAATAGTCCTCTATCATCACGTGATATCGCTCAGAATTGACGGTAACGACGTCCCCGGCCGCATTTTCGAAAAAGTAAGGTCCGATGATGCCTTTTGACCACAATGCACACCACACAGTCACTTTTGAGGATGCATCGGCTGCTCTTGATACTCACGGAGATTTTCGTTCGCCCAGATGCGGCAGTTTTGCTTGTTTACCGTCCCATTCAAAGTGAAATGCGCTTCGTCGTTGAACATGATTTTTGATGAAAAATTGGCATCAATTTGGCGGTGTTCAAGGAGCCAATCTGAGAACGTTCGGCGCGAAAAATGGTCGGCCCGACGCAGCTCTTGCGTCAATTGGATCTTGTAGGCGTGTACATTCAAATCCTTGTGGAGTATGCGGAGCAAACTGGTTCTCGAAATGCCCAATTCTTGGGATCGAGGCGTTGTTGATTGTTTCGGATCGTCTCTCACACTCTCCTTCACAACAGCAATATTTTCCGGTGTGCGAACGCTCCTTGGCCGGCCAGAGCCTGGCAGATTTGCCACAGAACCTGTTGCCTTGAATTTACGCACCAGACGACCGGTGGTTGTTTCGTTTGGGCGGTTGTTGCGACCGAAATGTTCACGAAACGTGTTTTTTATTTTTGCACCATTTTTGTAGTGCTCTTGAATAACTTTAATGCGGTCTTCAATCGAATACGACTCCATAGCGATCAATGGTAAACATTCAACTAACAAAATGACATGTCGGTGACAGAAAACAAAGATGGCGTCTATGTGAAATTGACGTTTACTTTCCTGCGTCCCTATTGGACAACCCTATAGTCCATGATCAAGATGTCAAAAAATCAATTAACTCAATATTAAGAATGTACGAGGGATGTCTTTTAAGTTTTGCATATAGAAACATAGTAGGCCGCGCGGATCGAACGTCAGTACTGAATCTTAACCTCACTCTTTAGTAAACTTAAATTCAAAGATTCACAACAATACGTGCAGTGTTCTCACTACAGTGAATCTTTAAGTGCCACCAGGTCATTAGAAAAATGGAACTCAACCGAGAACATTTTCGTGCCATAATTTATTACAACTTTCAGAGACAATTATCGCAACAAGAATGCCTCGCTGAGTTACTGTCTGTTTTCGGTAACGAAGCGCCACATCAATCGACAATTTCCCGTTGGTATGAAGAATTCAAACGGGGACGGGTGAGTCTTAGCGACGATTCCAGGGTGGGTGCACGAAAAAACGGCAGCCACCCAGGAAAACGTCGATGCTGTGCGCAAAATAATCTTCGAAAAACAATAAAGTCATTTAAAGCTACCTACCGCGTTGTTTTACTTCCATATGCAAAACTTAAAAGACATCCCTCGTATACCAAGTTACGTTTTTATAATCTCAGAATTCGTCATATTGACCTTTCTCGTCTGTGAGTGAGTCAACGACTTGGCTTACCCTGAGTTTCTTCATGTGCCTCGCTAGCCTAAGAATTTCCCTCACTCCCCTAACGTTAATATGTGTCGATAGTTTCAACTTTTCGTCGAACCTGACCGTAGCGGCGAAGTGAAATATGCAGTCGACTTCGGCTATAAGTTTTTCTTTGTCTTCTTCACTTAATCCTAGACCTGGCGAGCCTACATCGCCCATCACCATGTGAATTTTGTTCCTGAAGTCTGGACAGTTCCTCTTCAACGGGTCGAAACTCTGAAACAAAAATGCAAACGTGAACAAGATATTATCAAGATGCGAACATGACAGTTAGATCGTCGATATACGAGGATTGTCTGAAAAATAAGGTTCTACAGTATATTCAGATAAGAGATAGACCGGATGTAAACAAAAGGTTCGGGTGATTTTCACGCTAACGCCGCCGTCTCGACGTAAAACAGGAGCCCTCATTGGTCAATTCGCAATTAAATGCCTATGCCGAGCGGCAGAGCAGTCGTATCAAGGCAGAGTCACATTCAGGTTCAGACGTGTTACGTATGTCGTGTGCATCATTGCAATTTGATATTTCTTTGGACGTTTTCGTTTGTTATCTTATTAAGTTGTTGAGTTTGTCGTTGTTATTGTTATACCTTGTTATTGATTGTTATTGTTATCAACTGCTTGCGCAAAATGCCCAGTAGTACAGATACTGCCGATGAAGTTGTAAACTCCTGTAGTCCACCTAGGAAACGCTCTAAAAAAGACACCTGAGTGCAGAAATGAAAGAGGTCATTTTGAATATATATAAGATCGAGCGCGAGGAGAACGAGGCATCAACCATCAAAAAAATTGTTGTGAAGGTTTCTCACAAAGTTGGGGTGTGTCGCGCATCAGTGTTCAATGTGTTAAGACAATACAAAAAAAATCACACCTTTTCTGAGCCAATGACCAGTAAACATCGCAAAAGTATTGTTAAATCATTGGATGAAGCTGATAAGCATGCGATTAGGAGGAAAGTGCATGAATTCTTCTTTAGGAATGAAATACCTACTATAGATAAAGTACTGCAGGAGGTAAATGGAGATACAACGTTGCCAAATTTCAAACGATCAACTTTCCATGCGTTACTGAAGCATTTAAATTTCAAATGGAAAAACCGGGGTCGTAATAGTTTACTACTGGATAGAGAAGAAATTGTGCTATGGAGGAGGGATTATTTAACAAAAATTGGGAAATATAGAAATCAAAACAGGAAGATTTATTACCTTGATGAAACGTGGGTAAACGCAGGACACACTACAAGTAAAGTATGGGTTGATGATTCTGTAACTTCATCCAGGAGGGCCTTTCTAGATGGACTGTCCACCGGATTAAAAAATCCAGCAGGTAAATACGAGTAATAGACAACAATCGGATGTTTTTCAAACCTTGGGAACAAGGTACTAAACATTAATTCCAGGGGGCAGATAAAACATATTACAAGTAACAAAACTTTTATAACTTTCGATAAAATGCGTGGATGTTTTATTGTCATTTTCATTTTTTAGAACTTTTTTAAGCCATGTTTTTATGTGTTCTCGATATTTCAATAATTTTTTAATACAATCTTAAAATATGTCGAATATTATAAACTTAAAAAAAGTTACTAAGTTTTATATTGTGTACCGTTCCTAATATTTCTAATCATTTTAATTCATACTTTAAGCTTTATAAAGTTATAATTTGTTAATATTAATATTTGCGCGTATTTCAGGTTCCTGATCATTCATTTTTTAAAGGTTTATAACTTTAAATTAAATTGTGAAGCGCTGAGTAATCATACGACTTAAATCGTAATATAATATAATAAATATTCTTTCTTTCAATATGACTAAATAATCCCAACCAATTATAGCAATCTGATACTCATGTCTCAATGTTTTTTCGCTGAATGTGATGAAAACATTTGAAAAAGGTTCGCTTATTGAGATAAATCTACACCAGTTAGTACTTCGATTTCCAGGTAAAGGGAAAAGGCTCATTATCTGCCATATTGGCAGTGAGGATGGATTTGTTGTTGACGGTCTGTGGTGCTTTGAGTCTAAGAAAACTGGAGATTACCACGAGGAAATGAATGGCGAATCGTTTGAACAGTGGTTTTCAAAAATTTTACCGAACTTAGAGGAAAACGCAGTAATTGTGTTGGATAATGCGCCTTCTCGAAGAATGGAGAAGGTCCCAACAACGGCTTCAGGGAAAGTTGATGTTCAAAATTGGCTCCTCTCGAAAAATATCAACTTTGAAGAAGCAATGCTGAAAGTACAATTATTAAGAATTGTCAAGGATCACAAGGCGGAATATCAAAAATACGCCATTGACGAAATGGCAGCAAGTCAAAATAAAACTGTGCTCCGTTTACCTCCATACCATTGCGAGCTCAATCCCATTGAGCTCATATGGGCAGAGGTTAAAAATTATATAGCTAAGCACAATACAACTTTTAAATTTTGTGACCTCAAAGGACTTTTCAAAGAAGCACTAGAATTAATAACATCGCAAAAATGGGAAAACTGTATTAAGCACGTGAAAGACAAAGTTGAAAAGAGAATGTGGGAACTGGACAATATTTTAGAGAAACAAGTCGAGCCATTCATTATTGACGTTGGTGCTTCAGGCAGTAGCGATGATGAAAGCTCATCAAGCTCATCTTTCCAATAAAAGATGTCGTTCATCAAATTCGGTAAGTTATAAGTAATTATAAAGCTACTGTATTTTTTAATTAGTTATTGAAATTTTTGAACCCATTTTGGCAAAACCTATTCAAGAATCTACTTTCTGACAATGTTCAACCATGCACATTTTTTTACGTTTTGAACGTTTTAATTTGGTTACATATTTACCTAGAAATCAAAAAATATACTAATCAATATTCTAAAAGCAATTTTAAGAGATATACGATTATTTTTAATTTAGACTAATTTAAACGCCATTTTGAGATTATATTCGACTGTATTTCACCAAACATCAGACGGCATCCCCACATGATCCTATATCCATCACCAATCGTATACAGATCGAATTGTGCTAATTTACTACAAAGTTACGCAAAGCAGCATCTTCTATCTAAAATATGTACTGCGTGACTCTTAATACGTCCCTGCCGAATGTGACAGCGTTCGATGATCACGTGGTCTTGTTTATGTCCGTTCTATCTCTTATCTGAATATACTATAGCAACGCCGTCGTGTTTGTCGGCTCCCCCACCACCGATCCCAACAATGAGCGCCTATTTGCGATGCTCTGATTTCTGCACGTAATAGATATTAACCGCCACTTGAATAAAGTATGTGGAAAACGTTATAAGCATTCAACATGTCCTCAAATACGAGGGATGTACTTTAAGTTTGGCATATAATGGATGATTTTTTTGCTAGTATCTTTTTGGCAACACTGTTTTGACAGATGACGCGTGAATCGTGTCTTGTGTCATTGTCAAACTTGTTCAGTTTGGTCTATAATTTAATCAATCAAAATTCATGCTCGGTTAAGAGAGTGCATCGAGCACTGCTTCCAATTTATGGGCAATTTGGTCGGCCTACTGAGGGAGCTATTCGGAAGCTTGTGACTAAATTTCGCACCCAGTTTACATTATTGAACATTAAACCACCAACGCGCAGACGTAGAGTGAGGACTGAAGAAAATATTGCGGCTGTATCCGCCAGTGTTAGTGATGACTGTGAAATGTCGATTCGCCGCCGTTCCCAGCAATTGGGCCTCTGTTACTCCGCTAAGTGGAAAATTTTGCGACAGGATTTGCGTGTAAAACCTTATAAGATACAGCTGGTGCAAGAATTGAAGCCACACGACCTCCCACAACGCTTCCAATTTGGTGAATCGGCGCTGGCAAAGTTGGAGGAAGATCCACATTTTTATCGAATGCGATGATAACAAACTTTTTTTGCCCAAAATGGCTGAGCTGGACTTGGCTGACATGTGGTTTCAACAAGACGTGGAGAACATTTCGAAAAACAATAAAGTCATTTAAAACTACCTACCGTCTTGTTTTATTTCCATATGCAAAACTTAAAAGACATCCCTCGTAGTGAAGACATCCACGATGAACAACGAAGAAATTCGTTTTTTTTAATTAAAAAATTCCTCGTGCCTGATAATTGTATTTCGTTCAGAATTTGCCAACCTTGGCCTTAAATAACGTACCACTCAGGATGGGAAAACTATTTAAACCGAGGAATTTCGTTTCGTAGACGTAAAATATAATTTAAAACATGTAAATCATCAAAATCGAGCGTTACATCATAGCTATTTTTCCTTGGAAAAGAAATCTGAAGAATACATTAGTAACCGATGTGTGATCGACGTCTAGAATGAAAGGTTGTTTTGATGCCACTTGATAAACAAAATTTGGATGACCTCATAAAATGACTACCTTGAAATTGTGTTATACTCAAGTTCAACAGGTATGTGTTACTAAACAAAACGTTCCTTTTTCAATAACATATAGTAGAAGCAGATACCTATGCACTTATGGTTTCGTACTTTGCAATTTAAATGTTAAACAAAATATTATTAATATAAATATTAATAGGCAAGGTTGCTTGTATGTTGTGTTGATGCTCTGATAAAAGTTTGTAAAACTATAGGTCCTTTCTAGAGTCAAAATGTTGTGCCAATACGAGTAAAAATCCTCACAAGTTCATTGAAGTTCTATTTAGCAATAATTCTCATGCTGCGGAACATCATGATCAGTCATTGTTTCTTACTCCGATTGATATATGCATACATCGTTTTTCGTTGAACATTCCACAACAATGTATACTAAGTGACATATAAATCCGAACACCCAGTTTAAATGGTTTTATTTTAATAAAAGTTGGTGAATGTATTTATCTTACTGTAAATAACAAGTGAAAAAATTTTCAGCCTTATCAGTTGAACATTCCGGTTTTTATACTGCTTTTTTTTAATTCACTAACGCTCTAAAAATGAATATTTCAGCCGCAGTAAAGAATCAACGTTGGCGGATTTTGGTTCTTGACATCCTTTACGATCGGTTACGATGCCTAGAGTACGGAGACCTGTACGATTTCGTCAACTTAGTGAGTTTGATAGGGGCCGTATAGTGGGACAGTTAGAGTGCAAAGAAGTGTAGACACTGTGGTTAGGTGTTGTCAGGCATGGCTTCGAGAAGGCCGTACGCAAAGAGCAAGGGGCACTGGACGCCGCCGTAGAACAACAGACCGTGAAGATCGCCGCCTAAGATTATTGGCCTTAAGGGACCGTTTCTCCACTACCAGGTCCATTGCAAATGAATGGTTTGCAGAACACGGAAGACCTATTGGCATGCGAAGTGTTTACCGACGAATGAGAAGTTTTGCCTTGTTTTCATACCGGCCACACTGGGTGGTGCAGACATCGGTCACTCTGGGATCAGGAATGGAACAGTATTGTCTTTAGTGACGAGTCTCGATTTTGTTTAGGCATGCACGATGGTCGTGCCAGGGTTAGAAGGCGACGTGGTGAAAGGAGGAATCCACAGTTTTTTGTTGAAAGACATGTTCATCACACTGTTGGAGTTATGGTTTGGGGTGCTATAGCTTATGGTTCCAGGTCACCTTTAATCTTCATCAGACTTAACATGAACGCGCAGCGTTATATCCACGAAGTTCTAGAACCCCATCTTTTACCCTATCTTGACACCCTGGCAGATCCAACTTTCCAACAAGATAATGCCCGACCACATGTTGCAAGAGTCACAATAGACTTCTTTCAACATAATGATGTCACATTGTTACCATGGCCACCAAGATCTCCCGACTTATCCCCAAATGAGCACGTGTGGGATATGATGGGTAGGAGATTGCTCAATTTGCGACGTCCTCCTCAGACTCTAGAAGCACTTCGAGAGGAGTTGGCGGTTGCCTGGAATGAGATACCACAGGAGGACATTGACCACCTGATCAGAAGCATGCCTAGGCGCGTTGGAGAATGCGTAGCACATCAGGGTGCATCCACACATTACTAAAGGTCAAAGGGCTTTAAAGCAGCGCAATCATTTTGAAATTTTTGTCATTTACTTATTATGCTTCATTAAGTACTTATACAAAATTTTATTAAAATAAAACCATTTAAACTGGGTGTTCGGATTTATATGTCACTTAGTATATTTTAGATCGAAAAATTCGCGAATAATTCAAGATTTAGCAAATACCAGCAATGAATAGATGCGGATTCGGTAACCATCTCTTCATCCTTAGGGATCTCTTTTATTTTAGCACTTATTCCGTTGTGTGTATATCGTATGATCAGTAAGAAAAAATCAGGCCCCACAGTGTACGCCAATGACAATATCAAGAATTTTGCCTTTGATATCCGAAAATGCCTCGATATCTAAGCATTCTATGTACCGATACCTAATATACTCTCATATGTTAATGATAAATGTTGCTCCAATCCAATTTCTCAAGAGCTTTTAACTTTTAAAGGCAAATGCAACAGATCTCGCGGAAGCATCGACTTAACACGTTTTATCTAATTTCAATAAGTATGGATTTATATTTGCAATAAAATCGGAGATACAACCTATAAGAAACATAACCTAGGAAACCAATGTTCGTAGTTATAATACTTATATGAATATGTTTTGACATGTGGTATACTCATCTAGACAATGCGGTTTTAAACCACTTTCTTAAATATTTTAAACTTTTCTAAAGCGTTTAACACCATAAGCCATTCACTTTTAATAGCCAAATGTAAATTTTATGGTTACGAGTAGCTTTTTAAGAAATAAATCACAAAGATTTGTCATCGATATGAACACTTCTTCTGAGACTTCAGTATCATCGGGAGAGCCTCAAGGGTCGGTTCTTGGGCTGCTTCATATACTAAATGACAAAGAAAATTCAACATCGATTCGGAGTGTCGTAATTTTGAGCAAACTTTAACAAATTTCAGGTCTACTGATAAATACAAAGTATAAATACAAAATAGCTGAAAAATATATAGATTACGTTCAGTCTAACTTACCGGCTCGTCAAATAGCTCGTCGAACCTCTTGCTGACCTCTTTGCCTTTCTTCGGTCTGATAAGGATCCATATTTTATTGATATCCGGACATGTCCTTATCAGTTTCTCCATACACAACTTTCCTAAGAAACCTGTAGCGCCCGTAATAAATACTGTTGATTCCCGATAGAAGTCCTTGATGTCGCTATCTTCCTCGGGAAGGTTTCCATGAGTGAATGTGATATCCTCGACCATATCGGACGCTGATACCTGCGAGTCCGGATCTGGTATCTCGTGGTCGCGGATCATCTTACTGGATGTTGCACAGCCTGCGAATAAAAGATATTGTTAATAAAAATGAAGATAGTAGATATGACTTCACTTAATTGGTGTTTCACTTAATACGCATCTAAACAAGCTCGGGCATACTTTTTGGCATTCCCATATTTTCATGTAGTGCTGTCAACATACGTAATACCCGTGCCGATGACGTTTCTTGGTTTACCATTTGAATGACGTCACATGGTGACCGACAGTGTATCTACCGTTTTGTATTAAAAATGGAAAACATACTTTTTCAAACGTAATCAATAATATTTCGTTAATAAAATCCTCATTTAATGTATGGTATGATTCAAGTAGCCTATAAGTAAGTTTTGGTCAAAAATCCAAATTGCATCTCTCGTTTTCGCAGCTTTATTTATCACACTTTTGCTCGATGGTGTACGAGTGCAGCGTTTAGCAAGTTCTGTTGCAGTGGCAGGAGAAAGCCTTTTGCAAAACTGAACGAACGATCTAGGTCAGTTTTGTTGGTGTTTAGTCGTCAAACCTCCGCTTGCACTACTGCCGTTCAGAATTCCAATTAGACAATTATTATGTAATACGCACGCACCGAGCAGATGAATGCGAATATTTACCAACAACATAGATTATTGGATTGTGCGTCGAATCGAAATCGTCGGATATCATCCGCATAGCGAAGATGTTATAACAGGTTTTGATAGTAATAATAATAATAATGTCTTTAATCATAGTACAGTGGACCCCCGATAATCCGGCCCTTGTCTAATTCGGCGCCCCCCGTAATCCGACATGTCTTTGGATATTACATACATACGTATTTGACAATCTTTGCTAATGTAGATCACGCAGGTTGGAACAGGTTACAACTTGTACGCGTCACCGCTATAGTGCTCGACGCGTAAGCATTGTTTTACTCAGTTTGATACTTGTGATAGCGGTACGGCCTAGCGTGCGTTCATTGTTTACTATTTATTCATTGTCTATTAAGTATAGTATCTAGTAATGTCATCACAAACTCAGAAGCGAAAGCACAAAACATTGACAATTAAAGAAAAATGTGATATTTTAGACCGCTTAAATCGCAATGAAACTTTCAGTAGTTTAGCAAGTGAATACGGCGTAGGCCGATCTACAATTTATGACATTAAAAGAAACCACGAGAAGATCAAGAAGTTCGTGTCAACTACTGACTGCAGGCCAGGCAAGAGACAGACACTCAAGAAAGCTGAACATCCAGAAGTGGAAGAAGCTTTCTACATTATTATTATTATTATTAAACAACAAATTTGAGTTGAGTACAAGTACTATAAACTCAAACACAAAAATAGATAATAGTGTACAGACAAAAGAAATATAACAATTTGACAATCTTAGCGCTTCTGAAGTAGACATATACAGAATGGGAACAATATGTTAAGCACTGCGGTGTCTATCGTAATTGTTTTTGAAACTGTTGACGGATTCCGAGTTCACTACATAAGATGGAAGACTGTTCCATGCATCGAAGACACGGTTTGAGATGAAGCGCTGACGAGTAGAGGTTCTAAAAGCTTCCTTCTGCAATTTGAAGTTATGGCCTCTGAGACTGTTCGTTGCCAGACGAAACAGATGCGACATGTCCACACCAAACAAATTATGCAGTGCTCTGAAAGTGATGATGAGATCTCCTCGTACTCTTCTATCAGCAAAAGCAGGCAGGTTATATAGCTCGAGGCGGTCTTCATAAGCTGCTATCGCGAACAAGGTTTGAATCCCATACCGGACCAGCAAACTCCAGTAGGGGTCGTACGAAAGTTGTGTACAAAAAGGAGGAGGTACTAACGGTGCAACCGCTAAATGATCTTTCCATCATATATAGCAACCGCTTTGCCTTAGAGGTTATGTTCTGAATGTGCTCCGACCAGGTGAGCCGGCCATTAACTGTCAGACCAAGATCTGTGTGATGAAGAACAGTCTCTAAGGTATGTTTGCCAATCTTATATGTTAAGTTAGGATTATTCTTTCCCAGGTGGAGAACGTAGCATTTCGATATATTTAAAGGCAGGAGCCAAAGTTCTGACCACTTTCTGATCAGCTTGAGGTCTTCTTGAAGCACAGATGAGTTCATGACAGTGTTATAGACTTTAGTATCATCTGCATAGATGGAACCATAGAATAAAGTCGGGTGGGAAGGTCGCTTGTATAAAGAAGAAAAAGTATTGGCCCTAGCACAGATCCTTGTGGAACTCCACTAGTAACACGATGGCTAGCAGAATTGGCGTCTCCAACACGGACGGAGAAAGATCTGTCTAACAAAAAAGCTTCAATCCATAACAACAAATTTCCCCTGATCCCGAGATGTTCAGGCTTGTGCAGGAGCCTTTTATGCGGAACTCGATCGAAAGCTCTGGAAAAATCCAGAAAAACCACGTCGACCGGTTCATTTGCGTCTAAAGATCTGGTCCAATTGTCAATGCAGTGTAACATGTTGGTGATAATTGATCTACCAGGAATAAAACCATGTTGGTTGCTAGGCAGCAGGTTGTTCTTGAACGCAAATGTCATAAGTTGTTCCTGGACGATCTTTCGGCTATTTTCGCAGCTATAGGCACAAGACTGATAGGACGGTAGTTTTTCGCAGATGTTTTATCTCCTTTTTTGTATATAGGTGCCACAGATGCAGTACGCCAACAGGAAGGAAGCATGTGATTCTGAATCGAGGAGTTGAATATAATGCACAGGGGGTATGCGAGAGCTGAGGCACAGGACTTCATAACGGCAGAAGTAATCCCATCCTTTCCAGGGGACGAACAAGTTTTCAGTTTAGTAAGGTGCCTTGAATTCTTGGTTAGAAGTTCTTCGATGAATTTACACAAATAAACATCACCAGCACAGGGACGCGGTCTGTAGATACAGGCTAATACAAAACTGAAGTTTGGCCGTGTTAGTTCCAAAAAGAGACTGTCGATACCATCGAAGCTCTTGGAAGTAGTAGTTATTGTGAAATTGTCAGCAAATTCGGTACGTACATAAACAAAGACCCCACAATACCCCGGCGTGCGAGGGGAATCTACCCTATACAAAACAGTAACCAGGCAAATTAACAACATAGTCAGGTATATTAGGGCTGAGCCAGGTTTCTGTCAGACAAAGAAACGAAGGTTTGGTTCCATCAACAAATGCTTGCAGTTCGAGAAGTTTAGATACCAGTGACTGAATGTTTGTGTAGCACACCGACACCTCGGTTAGCAGTTTTTTGATACAGAAGATTGCTGTGCAACAATATTGACAATGGATGGTCTACCCTTGACATATTTAATCGTGATATTGCGTTCTCCAGCCGTTAGCCTTCGTTTCAACTCCTCACGTAGTTGCTGCTACATGTGGTTTCTTCAGGAAAGAAATAGGCATGCACCAATTTCAGGACCCATGTTGGCCATGGAAGCTAAGTTTTTTTATAAGGAAATAACAAAAAAAGATGATTTTGTGGCCAGCAAAGGATGGCTAGAACGTCTTAAACGTCGTCATGGCATACGTTTAATGACTATTACATTTATTTGTTAATTACCCAATTTGAAAACGTTTTAGGTTATATTATGAAAATTAGTAAGATTGTGATGATTGTGGTCGATATAAGGCACTTAAAGTTGTAAACTATAAAGCCATTCAGACAAAAATCTATTGACTTTTGGACCATGGGTCATATAAACTTTTTGCCTTGTTTTGAACCCCCCCGCTATTACCCATTCCAATAATGACTACCGTAACGTTTACACCGTCTATTTCATATCACTTACAATCAATAAACATCGGTTCTACGCCATGCCATCGATACAGATACGTGTACAACATTATCAAGGTTTAGCATTTGTATACAAAAAAATAATGATAATTGCTGATTGGCGCTGTCCACGAAAATTAATGATTATTCATAGGTTCGCAAGTTTAAGGTTTTAAGGAAGGAAATACGCGCTTATTATGCGTACTCGATGATAGTGGTCTTGACGGCATGTTTACAATAATTGAGGACACGGTTTGCTTGCGCGTTTGTTTCTCTCGTCGGAATATTACGATTACCCACCTATTATTCGCATGATTATTTCTCCTATCGCCTGGAAAATTATAACTATACCGAAACTAGATAATACGGTTATACCGATTCTCTGTCACATTGGCAGTGAAAAATTTTGTATTAGTACTTAATGAAGCATAATAAGTAAATGATAAAAATTTCAAAATGATTGCACTGCTTTAAAGCCCTTTGATCTTTAATAATGTGTGGATGCACCCTGATGTGCTACGCATTCTCCAACGCGCCTAGGCATGCTTCTGATCAGGTGGTCAATGTCCTCCTGTGGTATCTCATTCCAGGCAACCACCAACTCCTCTCGAAGTGCTTCTAGAGTCTGAGGAGGACGTTGCAAATTGAGCAATCTCCTACCCATCATATCCCACACGTGCTCAATTGGGGATAAGTCGGGAGATTTTGGTGGCCATGGTAACAATGTGACATCATTATGTTGAAAGAAGTCTATTGTGACTCTTGCAACATGTGGTCGGGCATTATCTTGTTGGAAAGTTGGATCTGCCAGGGTGTCAAGATAGGGTAAAAGATGGGGTTCTAGAACTTCGTGGATATAACGCTGCGCGTTCATGTTACCTCTGATGAAGATTAAAGGTGACCTGGAACCATAAGCCATAGCACCCCAAACCATAACTCCAACAGTGTGATGAACATGTTTTTCAACAAAAAACTGTGGATTCCTCCTTTCACCACGTCGCCTTCTAACCCTGGCACGACCATCGTCCATGCCTAAACAAAATGGAGACTCCTGATCCCAGAGTGACCGTTGTCTGCACCACTCAAGGCGATTACGTCGGTGTTCTCGAGTTAAAGGGAGGACCCAGTGTGGCAGGTATGAAAACAAGCCAAAACTTCTCATTCGTCGGTAAACACTTCGCATGCCAATAGGTCTTCCGTGTTCTGCAAACCATTCATTTGCATTGGACTTGGTAGTGGAGAAACGGTCCCTTAAGGCCAATAATC